AGAGGCGTCAGCATGGTGGTGAGATGTTAATGAAAATTTGAGGGAACCAGAATGCAAATACGCCCTTTTTTCGATATTGAAGATCTTGAAAATCCCGTTGAGCACCACGCGGGATATACACAAAGTGAAAATATTTACTTGCTTTAGATTGAATATAAAATCCGATTCATTTACAATCCAAAGCCATTTTAAATTCCCACATTTCGACTATTTACACTTGCATATGATTTTTGGTCATTGGATTCGCTTTGTCATTTTACTCGATCACTTTTCCACAGGATTTGCTCCCCAAATTCACCATTAATGTAACCCTTTTAGTCGCGCATTATCGTGTGTGTATTTTATTTAAGTTTTTGAATCAGCATTTTGGCTACATTTACATGGTTTCCATAATTACCAAGGTGATTGCACACATGGGAATTAATTTAGATTTTAGTGCATGGAACCATCTACTGCCTAGCACAAAGGGAAATAGCATCAAACAGCCTTTTTTTGAATTTCTTAGCTTTCAATTGAAAAATTCAGTTGAGCTATAAGTACTAAATGAATGAGCGTTGCATTTCACTTTATTGTAATCTGGGTTGCAAAGACTACAATGAAATTCGCTGATTTTGATTATAATGAGAAGAAGATTGACTCCAGAAATATGTTTAACCTTTTCTATCATCTATATCATAGATGAAAATTTATATTTGCTGCTTTTCTTTTGAATGCATTGGAATAAAACATGTTTGGAATCTGCTTTTTCAAACGACCTTGAAAGCACCCAATCACAGCGTCCTGGTGCTGTGGTTCAACTGGCTGAGCACCCGCAGGACTCCAACAGGCTTCTTATTGGCTACTCGTCTGGACTCTTGGTGCTATGGGATCTTCGAGCCAAAGCTGCTGAAGTGCGTTTCCAGTATCACGAGGTGGGTGTGCCCTCAATGATTGACGAGTGTGAATGGTTATTTAATTTCAAGTTGTTTCTAATCGAGCTTTGTGAAAATTTCTGAATTCATTGCTAAAATAGTCCGTCCACAATCTACACTAGAAGTATAAAATACATTTCTGCTGCCTTTTCCAATCCGTCATTCCTGATGACGGTAACATCATTTGCCACTTTTCGGATGTGTCTCATTAATGACAAGGGTGATTTCAAATTGGTGTGGTTACTTAATGAACTTGCAAAACTCATCATTTTTAGCAAAAAAACAGGGCTTAAAGCCTATTTGCTGATTAATTAAGGTGCACACTTTATGATATACGGTTGCTCTAATCGAATTTCTTTTATCTCTTTGGCATCACATGCATCACCAAAGATTGTTACCACTATTCTCTCCTCTCTTCCCAGAGAAAAACATAATAATTTGGTTTACTACTAATGTATTCCTACGAAAACTTTAGCAGTGCTTTTAAAATTGCGTCACATCAATAGAAATACCCAAATTGCCAACCTATCAGAGCTATTTTTATCATTTAACGCATTAAGACCTGAAAATATGCGAATATAGGGTGGGCAGTAGGAAGTAGTTACTTGTTATGTACTTGCAACTGGTTGTCTGGTACCTCATCTACTCTTTGCGTCTCCCAGACGTTTACTGTCGTTATTGAGGTGGGTATCAGTAAATCAGTCTGGTAGAAAGAAGGCATTGTTATTCATTTTATCTGAGTGAATCTCATTTATCATACAAATGGGATGTAAAGCTGCTTTAAGCTATTAAAACACAATACGCATTTAGTTTCATCTCATTTTATTGTTGTTTTTGCACAGAAGTCTGGCAGGCAGCGGATGATGGTCGCTTTTTAGGCTTTGGAGACGCTGATAGAAGCAGTAGCATTTGTCTGATTTCATTTTAGTTTTTTTTTATTTTAACTATCCACATCGATCATCAGTAATATTTTTGAAGATCATAAGACACACGAGTCCGGAAGTGGCTTAATTACAAATGTGCAGAAGAGCCAGACGGCTATTAGGGTAGGCATCATTCTTTGCCACCGTCCACAGTAACCAAACAGTGACAAGCTGAAAGAGGCCTTCCTTTTCAAATGTATATTTGACTGCATGTATCGGTTTTTATTTGGAGCACCATTTCTGGTGCTTCTCATGGTAACTCTTCCGATTTTTTGATTTATTAAGAGACACAAGGAAAGATTATGCGATACATTTACACCACATAAGGGGGATGGTCTCTATTTCCCTTGTAGTACCTCTAGACAGGGATTACTGTTGCGTTCTTTAATAGACAAGCTCCACTTGAGAAGTGCTGTAGCCCAGACAATATTTTTTTAGTGAGTGCATTTCATGTGGCAATCACCTTCCGTAAAGATTTACGTCAAAGCAGCATGGAAGTACTGTGTTCACAGATCATTATCGTAAATCACTGTTGGCGTTGCTGTAAATAGTCCTTTAAGAGTGGGTCACGATTTGCAAAAATTTTGACGCAGCTTCTATAGCCATATTAGTGTCTCCACGGTCGATACATCTCTTTTGTGACGTCTTCACAAAAGGAAAAATCTAGGTTTTATTCTACCGTATTTAAGAGTGTTGGTAAGTTCTGGTTTGTTAGGAAAGTGAATGAACCAAATTAAACGATTTTTAAAATTTATGCTGAGGAGTACACCATTTAGGCTTGCTTGCATGAAGCGTCATGATATATGCATGGGCGAGTGTATGCATGCCTAATTAGCTACCATTGTGAAAGTTGAATAGCTCCAGGAAGGATACCTAATGTTGTCATTTTGCTCTCAGGATTAAATCTTGTTATACCCTCTTTCCTCACAATTGGCTTTGCTTGAGCTGTTGGCTGCCCTTTTTATACTCAGTTTCAAAAATTTAGTCCTCTATTTTTTTTTTAAATTCCTGTTGGGTAGGTTGTTGAGTACCGCAATCATGCTTTGACCTCATCATAAGAATAGACGGTATTAACAGGCATTAAGCGAAATCTTTGCCCCTTTATTATGGAGCGATGGAACAGAACACCTTTAACCTATGGCTGAACAAGCGGATACACCATCGTCATTAGCAGTGTAGAGCTGGATGAAATTTCACCATAAACGCGCAGAGGAGATGATGGACTTTTAAAATGCATGATATCAACAGAAACTCACGTCATTAGCATGGTGACTGAAGCCAGCGAAAGCTGAAGAGTCATTGTAATTGAGTATACAATCAAACTAATGTTATGCTGCACAGTGTCATTATAAATGGTTTCATCCACACTGTGAATAAGTTTTGAGAGAATTTCAAGTGACACTTTTCCGGTAAATGTGCATTTATATTCCTATTTTGGCAGAACCATTGCAGCACAATTTGAAACATTCAGATTCTATATCCCTTTGAAGTACCCATTACCATTCAAAGCCAACATCCTTACAAATTCTTTCCACTTGGTACGTTAATGAAACCAAAGGATCACAGTATTTTGTATCGAATAGACGATGTAATTTTCAAAATCCTTCTCCTCCCCCTATTTCCCTCACTTAGTTAGTTAGTGAGAGAATGAATGACTTTCAGGATTTTAAAATCCAATTGCCTGGCAGGACAAATCGTTAAAGTTTTGGTAAGTTGGTCATGAATTAATGTGGTAGTCTATGTTCGCTCAAAAATGCTAGTGACGCTTGGTGAGAAACTATACTGAAGCTAACTTTCATACATGAGCTGTTTTCTTTTGAAAAGGAAGTACCGATCGCGTTAATCATGATTAATTTATTTTGATCTGTAAAACGAGAAAGAAAATCACTCTCACGCTGCTGTTTAACAAATTCATGGTGGAACTAGCCTTGTAAATTGCTTTAAACATTCTTAAACAATATTTGCACTAAGATTTGCTTTATGGGGCAGTTTCAAATGCGATTGTAGATCACCTCTCAGCTTGCCCTCAATAAACACAGAATTAATTATTATCCAAAAGGTTGGATTTACCCACTTATAGAGCCTACAATTTGGCTGATGGGGGAATTGGGGAGCTGGAGGAGAGGAATTAGTTTCCTCTTAGTAGCTCAACTTTTGCCATACCTACTAGCTAATAGGGTCACGTGCTTGTAGAACAGGCCATATGTCCATCTAAAAAGTCTTGTATGCTTCGGACCTCCTAAATCCTCCCCTATAAACGTTTTTGTTCCCGCAGAGGCTCAGATCTTCTTCTATGGGAGCACTATTGTGCTCTATGTCAGTGATACTCAAACGCTCCTCGTACATATGAGATCCCAGGCCCAAGAATCTGTCAATAAAAAGTACACGGCTTTGTGCGCAGAGTTGAGAGCACAAGGGAGGGAGAGCGCTACATCCAGGCCGTTCGACCGCCCCACTAACTTGCGCAATGGCGCATTCCATGATAGCCTGAAGTCATTTAAGGCGGAGAATGTTTTTGTGCCGAACGAAACGCGCTAATCTCCTGTGTGCGCACGCGGGCGTTAATGAAATGCCTGGGCTTGGGCCAATTTAACTGAGCAAACTCGTCCCTTTCCGTTAGAATCTTTTTGAGTAAATGATAGACTGTCAGGGGTCTTCCGCTTAATTTTTACAACCATTTGCAAACATTCAATTGTAGTTAATTACAAGAAAGTGACCAATCATTCGCATTAGGGTGTATGACAACTATACATGAAAGGCTGTACATGTGGGTGGATGTTAATGCAAAAATTACTGTAAATCGTTGGTTTTTACTGCATGAATCGGGTGATGAAGCACTAAAAGTAATTCATACAAATTAATGACTAGAACAGTTTGAGTTAGTAGGTGAAAGGTTATGCTTGCCGTGCCGGTGACTCAGCAAAGAAGGGGCGTGAATTTCATGAGTTGCCGGGAGAGACACTGACTGTCACATTTGTGATTTAATCAACTAAAAGAAGAATTAGAAAAACTAATCTCTATTTGCTCCGGTGACTGAAAATTCCTTCAAGTAAATGATACGCTTTGCTCATCAAATTAGCTCATCTGCATAAACGGTAGTGTCATTAAATTGGACCTTCTTGTTGGTCATTGAAAGTCCAGGGGCATTTAATAATGTATGCTACTGAAAAAATCGTTATGAGGATTATGTCACTTTACTTTTTTGTGTATGGAAATCGTCTACAATCCACATTGTTTCGCTGCCATTAAACTGTTACGTGTGAAAATGTATTGAGATCTGATCTTCACTTACCTCGCACACATCAAATATATTTTAAATGTTTTACATTCTTTTTGTTGCTCTAGTTACTAATAGCGGTGTAGGATTCTTGTTCAAAGTGACCTCAGATATCTCAACTTAGAGGATGACGGCCTCATCTATGTGGATAGGATGCAAATTTTCCTTTGAAGAGTACCAGGCGTAAAAACGATTTTGTTATTTACTTTTCAGACGTTATACAGTTTTGCCTGGCACTGGGAGGGCAAAGGCTTTGTCTCGGCACACAGTTCGGGTACCATCGTCACCTGGGCCCTAAACCAGCCCAAGCGGCCCCAATCTATCTGTCCACATGGTACGTTGTGTCCAAATTGATTTCAAAGAAAAATACTTTGAAACCTTGATTGGGCCTTGAGAAGCTTGAGTCATCTCTGCAACCGTAATAAGTTATCATTAGGCTACATTTAGATTAATTATAACCGAACCCAAAGCCTGATAAACCAAAATGCGGGAAGCTGAAAACACCCGCATTCTGCTCCTGTGTGACTCCTACTTCGGTCATCACAAGGTAGTCAGGGTTACTAGCATCCTCCATGAGACAGAAATGAGGATTATGCTATGATCATTCGACACCGCAAAACTGCTTCCAGGGGCATATTTCTAAGCGCGGAGTTTATCGTAAAAATTCATTTTTCCTGGTTTTCTCGTAGCTCATCTGTGTTCCATAGCCATCGCTTTTCATAAACCAACCGCTTTACGTCCAAAACTTTATTTAAAAAACCACGTAACATAAATTGGTTTTTCGGGTCTATTTTTCTGTAGTCTCTTCTCATTTCCGCTCTGTCTCCATTTTCTCTCTAATGAACTGCTCATCTTGGTTAAAATCCCTTGCAAATTAAAAAAGCATTTTAAGTGGGCCCTCTATTACGTCTGAGAACCTTTAAGTAGTTCTGTTATGAGTGTACGATTAGCACGAAGAAATATTGAAATAGTAGTAGTACCATTGCGAATCGGTGAAGGCCAGATCGTTGAAGAATCGAATCCAGCAACAATTCTTCTTCTTCTAAAACCTTGTGAATTGGTGCAGTTTTAGTGCCATTGCGTGTATTTAATTTTATTTCCTAAGTTGAGGTGTTTTTTTTTCAAGGGCATGAGATGGGATGCCGCTACTACTGCTACTATTTAGCTTCGTCTGAATTTTGAAGTTAGATACATTTTTGCGATAAACATCTCCTAGTACCCCTGTCATAACGCCTCCCTTTTGCCTCGCCACCGCGTGATTTCACTCCTACACATCAGTTTCCCGCTACGAGGCATGTAATTTTCACTCTCTTCTACTTGCCCTTTTTTCTTTAGCACCTTGGATTTTGCCAAAAGATTAATTTTTATTTTCTTCAAAGGTTGCTCTTTCCTTTTCTGTACTTTGTGAGGTTAGGCGATGTGATTTAATAAAATCAAGGCCGTATTTTCTGCTCAAATATAACTTACTTTAAAAGCAACAAGATGAGCAAGCACCTTCTCTTGTATTTCAGCATCCTCTCTAGAAGTTGTAAGAACAGCCGCTACTTCCTACATTTTTTAACCAGTCCTGTTGGGACTGTGATGTTCTGTTAATGTTTGATCTAATCGGGTAGCTCTAAGCGTAATAAGCTTGAACGTGGTTCAATGCGCCTTCAGAGGACAGTCGTTTGCTAAATATTCCCATAAACGCAGGCTTTAAGTCGTTTTCGAGCATTAGCAGCCCTACCATTCAGCTGAATATGCCATTTGTGAGGCAGAAAAACCCTACTGGATGTTTATTACCAGGAATTTATTTCAGACTGTTCTGTAACTGCCAAATACCATTTATTTCCATATTAGGGCTGAAATGTTTCTATTCAGTGGTTTGAATTAAAATTACAATTTTCAAATGAGAATCTATTGACTAGTATTTTCCTTTTACATGCCTTTAAATCAGTTGTTTGTCGCCATCGGAGTTTTCGTCAAAAATTCAAGTTCCAAGTTTAAGTGAATTCATTCAGCGGTGTGGTGCAAAGTAAACATTATTTCAAAACAGTTTGTATCATAGATAGTAAACTGTAAAAACTCATCGGACTTGTTTCCTGAATTCAAGCATGATTTTGTCGAACTCACCTCAAGATAAGTTGGTCAATCATCGTTTTTGAGCTCAAGATATTTAAGTAGCATTACTTATGATTTATGACTTTAAACGATTTCAATGAGATTTTTGGCACCGTTCATTCCTGCACCCAATTTAAACTGGTTAAGCCTACTGTGTTTGTGGCGCTCAGGACTTTTCTTTGGTCGTAAGATGCATTACCAACGTGCAGAAGAACTGAGGTTACTGGCATGACCTGAGGGCCATGCTGCCGAGCGGAAGTACAATTCGCTTAATCAAACACTTAGTTAAACAGCACATCAGTGTTATGCTGTATTTTTAGGATTAGGAAATTTTTTATTAGATGCATTTGTCTTTTTAGGTTATCTTGTGATTATTTTGCTAGTAATTTGGGCTTCAAAAATCACTTTAGTGAAATTACAGGGTTTCTTTGAATTTCGACTGTACCAGGGGCCCTAAGAATTGGACATAATTTTCAAGCTTTAATTATTTTGTTTCTTGATTTAAAACATTTTAGTGCATCTCAGTGCAATTTCTAAGTTTGTTTTTGGTTAAAATTTATTTCAGTTATTCGCTGAATTGGGTTTTTTCACACCGGCCAGATCCACACCGAACATTGTTTTCCAGATCAACGGAGGAATTTCGGTTTTTTCCTTTATAAAATAAAATTTCAAAATCACTTTCTTCATTTTATAACCGTTTTGTGCAGCTGGGGACGACGACGTATCCAACTCTCAATTTTCGTTTGAACCCATTCGCTGTGTCCAATGGCTTCCGACCAAAACAGGGTGAGTTGCGGTGCCTACTCCACAAAAGCATAACTGCGTATATCATATTCATGCTATTTTTTGTTTTCAAAAGCCTATCTTAAAAGAATACGTCCAGAAGTATGGGCAAGCACAGCTAAGACAACGACTTGTGTTTCCTGGCCTCCGCGAGCCAATCAGAACACCCAGTCGATTCGTTCTGCATATAGTTCGACAACATGGTGTCCTTTAAAATCAAATTATTCCAATAGTTATCAGTTTATTTAACTTGATATTTGTTACCAGGTTTGGCCTTCCATTGTCAATTCCTATGGGTCGTTTTGGCCTTTTAGAAGTAGTGAACGCAAAATCAGCCACTTATTTTCACTTACTTCTTCAGAGAGTGGTATATTTGAACGATATCCAAACCGAATTCCCTGGACATTTTAGGAATTAAGATTTCTCAAACAGACTGTTAAGAAAATTTGCGTGCAGTCGAAAGGAGCTATAACACTAGGAGAGAAAAAGTATTGGCGATGTAAGGAATGAATGAAAGGCTACTCGGCATGCCTCAGAGCCCTTGCCGCCCGAGCGAAAGTACAATCGCGGAGCCTCATGTGCTCGCATAACCAAAATGAAGGGTCACACAAACAATAAAAGTATTGCACACAGGTTCCACTAAATTTACGCTTAATTATTGCTCGGGATTCATATTTATGTGTAACTTTAAATTTTCGCTAGTTTATAAGTTTCCTGGAAGATTTCATCAAACCCTAGGAATGATGTAGGTGGTGGTTCCCTCTATAGTATTTTTAACAATGTACCCTTAAGAGTGTAGTGTAAGTAGAAGCACAATTTCATGCCTTTATGGCTCGACTGTGTTATTATGAAATGGAGTTAACTTCAGTTCAGTATTTATACTTTAATCAGGTTGGATAATGTGCTGATAACGTAAGGCATATTTCATGTATTTGCACGGCTTCCAAATATTGAGTTTTTCATCCACTAGTTAAAATATATACTCATTTTTAATAAAGTTTATTGAAAATTCAGGAGACTTATTTACTGGGACTTCTAATGAGTCCACCAGAGCTTGCGTATCATCCCATCACGGTACTGAATTATTCTAAAGAGGTAATTGTTTTAACTGGAAAGGCATCCGCCCATTGGACTATCAGTCAATCAAACATTTTCTTCCTGCTGAATATTCTGAAGAAATATGGCATTAGCTTGAGACAGTTGGATTGTCTTTCAGAAAATGCCTGTTATCACTATAATTATATAAGAGTATTTAGCGGAAATTTACGCATCGTCCCCACTAAACTTTTATGGGAAAATAGTCGCTAATTATGGGCCGTATTTCGTCCCATAGCAATAATTTTCGGTTTGCTTTTAAATTTTGCCATTCATGGCAGCATTGTCGTAAACACGGCTAAAAAAATGAATTATAAAGTGATCTTCAAATAGTGATAGCACCATTTAGCCCTCAAATTTGCGATTCGGGATTATTTCTTCTTTCCAATTACATGGACGAAGGTTTGCTTCAATCATTAGTATGATCTGCCTAAGTTTGATATATCTTCTAGAAATTTGGGTTGTTTTCTGTAAACACGTAGTCGCCCTATTTTGATTTAACTCTGGTAAGGTATGGTAATTTACATAATTGACCGAAGAAAGCGTTCTCATCACGAATTTGGTGGTTCTCATGTGGAATTTGACTTTAAACATGAATTAATTATATTACAAGCTGAATAAGCTCTTTTCATCGGTCTAAGTAATATCGAAAGTATTGTTCTACTTTAATGGATCTATTTACATTTGTCGAATCTGCTAGGCTTGCTAAAGCTATCATTTTCGGTTGTTTCCTTGGTATGTATTGCCCATATTTTTTGCTCTTTAGGGAGTCCATAATCGTCTTCTCCGGTGGAAGTCGTCGGGACTGCCTGGATGCTGTCATCGATGAGGAGGGGAATTACACGACACCCAGCATCACCATCATGCGTGGAAAACGTCTGGCTGTCATGCAGATGGACTTCAACGTTGTCACCTTTACCACTCTCTGCACCTCGCCCTACTTCAATGGTATGTACTTCTGTTTGGTACTTTTAGCAGGTGACTGTTGAAATTTTCCCAGCTTTGATTCAATATAATCTTCAGTGTCCCAACCTTAAGCATTAATGCATGTCATTAGACATATATTCGCTTCTCCTCTTTTGCGACAATTGAAGATAGCTGATGTATATCTTCTTTTTTTTCGGTCTGCTTCAAAAGGCTTTTATTCGTTTTTGGCTGTTTAAATCGAAAATTTCAAACATGCCATTTTATATACTTTTGTGTTCACCTGTTCAGTGCCTTCAGAAGGTATTTGTTAGAATTTACTTAAGTCCTTACCCAATTTGGTGTATTTTAACTATTTGTTTTTCTTATCTTTTAACCTCAAAGTGTTCCATCTGACACATTCCGTTTAAGCTGCCAGAAAATTACTAGCTAGAACCTACCAACTTGACAATTGCCAGTTTGTGTATGCTTCATTACCACTTCTGTGATTGTTAGGCCGTGTTTCTCAAATTATGCTATTGGCTGTCTTTTGCAATACAACATTCAGGTCAAGATTTGAGTCGTCTGCTAGGCTGGAATTGAATAAATCTTCACCTAATAAAATATGCACTTTTCAGTTACACTTCTTTCTTTCGTGCCTCGAGCTGCGCTGATCTACTGGGACTACATACCCTATAATAACCCTAGTCTCTAAGGCATTTGTGGTTTTGTGAACAGTGAATCTTAAAAGGGAAATCAAGATTTGATAAGTGCATAAAATATTGATTAAATTATCTCCGAATTGACAGAAATTATGTTAATGCTGATCACACTTATACTAGTCATTTTCTCATCATATGCCACTTTCATTGACGCTACAAAAATGTTAGGTAAATTTCCTGCTCACTTCAATTTACCTACTTTATTCTGTATGCGAGATATCATTATTTTCCCAAGAGGGGTTCTCTGCTATTCGGAGGTGAGATTACGAGAATGTAAGGGAGTCACTTAAATCGTACCGTAGTTCTGCGGAAAAATTTCGTCTGCAAGTTCGTTGGGCGTCATTCATGTTATTTGGATTTTAAAATGCGAAAGAGCTACCTTTTACTTCTCATTTGAATGTCAGATGTACATGAATGACTAATAAGGTGAAGTTGTTTATAGACGGGGAAGATTTTTGAAATTTTCATTACAATGAGACATTTGCACTCCTTTGTTTTCATGACATCTATGTAAATATTAGGCAGAATAAAGTGGCCATTTCACTTTCAACGTTGCTATTTATCTGCACAAATTTTTTCCCAATCTAGTGAGAGGCATTTGAATTTCCTTTAGTACTGGTTTGAACCTTCCAGAACTTTTTCCCTCGAAGAGATGCAAAGGCTATGAAGAATATGTATTTGCACCGTTTATTGGTACTCAATTATTTCCAGCATTTATAAATCTGGAATTGTTTAGTTTTTTATAGTGGCATTAAGTGGTATGTATGTAATGCAAATTTACATTAGAGACATTACTAGCTAATGAGTCAAGTCAATTTTTGGTCTTCATAGAAACTTGCGATCCATATGCGGTAGCCGTCTTGCTGCAACAAGATCTTGTCCTCGTGGATCTCTTGACACCGGGGTAAGTCTGCTTACAACCCTTATGTAGCTTTCTCGTTACCTCTTCTTTAGACTTCTGTCAGATCTACAGTCAAGTGCCAATACTATTTAAAATCAGAAATATAAAATACGATGGTAAAAAAGGCGCATAAAGACCACCCTTATCTCTACAACTCATATATTCTCATTGAAAATTCAAATTAAAAAAATTGAGCATGTAAGTCATTTGCACGCTTTTTAAGTGAATGAAGAGTCTGAAAAGAAGTCACAGAGGATGCATTTAATCGTCTCATCCCCTAAGTTGAACTAAAGCTACTATCTGCCAATTTTGCATTCTAAACTGAAAACAAGTCAATTTGGTGTCAAAGTATTTCCTTAAGTAAACTAGCTCACTATGTTTCAGCAAGAGTACACTTGTTACTCCAACTAGGTACCCCAGTTTTGAGAATCCCTACCCCATGGACATTGCCGTCACACCAGTGACATCATGTTATTACGTCGTCGACTGTCCGTCCGATCTTGTTCCGGCTTTTTATGCTGTCGGCAGTCGTGGTAAGAGGGCAATAGCGACCTCAAAATCAACAATTCAGGAAGGGACTGCTGAAGGACAGACATTGGTGACAAGCAATGATTCATTCTCTTCTAAAAGGTGGCCCATTGATGGTGGCGAGTGGGGCACCAATTTTTGCTCTTATCAGGAACTGATCATCACTGGGTGCGTTATCTGATATTCTTACTCGGTGTAACACTTTAGCCGAAAATGAGATAAACGGATGGTATTTGTTAGGGCGTTCATTAATGGCGTCGCATATTTGTGATTTATTTCTTACCCATGCCTGATTACCGGTTTAACCAAGCCTTGTCACAGCGGACTGGTTTTGGTTCGGAAAACTAGGGTAGATGCGAGAGGTTCCTGGTCTGAGGGTAATTATGCCAGCTGGGAAAGGCTGAGTACCATTGCATTACATAGAACGAACCTTTTGTGAGTTGTAGTGGTTATTTATCAACTGAGATCCGTGTACCTAATGGGCTTCTCAAAAGAGGACCGCCCTACTAAAATAGTTTTGGACTTCAAAGGGATAGGTCTGGAAGTAGCTTGGGCTGAGTAACTGGCAATACAGATGAAATAAACAAAAATCCCTGTCATGGTGGCAGAGTCCAGTGCACTGGAGACTGAACAGGCGCCATGGTCAAACTTACAATCGAGGAAAACGGCATTTTGCAACATAAATCAACTGTTTTAATGTTTTTAGGCACGCAGATGGATCAGTAAGGTTTTGGGATGCCTCTGGTGGTGAGTGTCATTTACTCATTTATATTTTTCAATCGCTTCAGTATTACACTCAACATTATACGCTCCCCTTTAAAATAAGTTCATTTTTCTAACAAATTTAATGGAAAAATTGAGAATAAATTTTGATAAATTATTTCAACAAAGTATGAAGATAAAGCTATGCAAAGAGTTTTATTTATTTAAAAGATTCTGACCTCGTTTGCAAACGTTTTAAACTGTAAGGAGGAGAAATTAATGCCGGTTTAGGAATTCATTTGCATATTCTACATGTTATTCAGAAAATGTTGTGAATAGCAGCTTCTGTTAAAGGATTTTAACCCAGGTTTGCATGAAATGGAAGGAAAATTCAAAAAAGGCACACTTTATCTTACCAGAACTTCTGATGAAATGAAAGATCCGCTATTCAAATGATTTACCGTGTACTGGTGATCAACAATATCTCATTGAATTTGCGTTTATGTAGCCTTAACTTTTAAGTCATTATTTTTGTTAGATCGAGGTCTTGTTTTTTTTTATATCTTAGACCACACAAATGCACCGACTGCTTGATAATTTTGCGCTGCTATATATGCAATGATGTTTGTTTCTGACACGAAATTCCTCCCCAGTTTTCCTTCTTTTGCAGTTGCTCACGAATGATATTAATAATGCGAAGGTGGTAATAAGAGGTACTTTTACTGAATGACTTAGATTCTTCGCCAAATCGACATCCATCCTGCCAGTATTTCTGTCACAGATCACTCGCATAAAAGCTTAATGGTAATTAACCTACCAACAAATTCAATGCTTTAAAGATTCACCTGAAAGTAGGTTGTGTTCAACGGATTCCCCTGCCTCACACATGTAAAACTGCACATTCAATTGTGCCCTCTTTGATCTGCTTGACTTTTAATCCATTTTTTTGTTCACAAATCGAGGAAAATACCCTGATTATGTTTCGTAAACAAGCACTATTAATTCCCTTTATATCTCATTCCATAGAGAGGTCCATGAAAGTACAAGTCAAATGTCTTTAGGCATTTAAGACTACTCGCAGTCTCCACCATTCTCAAGTAAATAAAGTATTTTCTGTTTCTTACATTTGTCCAAAGCTCAACTTCCTGAAATGGAAGTAAAGTTTTGATTTGACTCTTCCTAAGGGACTGGTATTTAATGTTTATTCTGAAAGGGAAACTCCGTGTGAGCAGCATCAATGACGCATGAACACAATGCATGTTCTATGTTAGAATAAAATGGTGCACGCAATTTTTACTCATGAATTTCTCATTGTGATTTTAAAACAAATAGAGAAAAATTGTATATTTATACCCTTTTACTGCTTAAAAGTGCAGCTAACCTTCAAAGTTCACATTTATCATGAGTAAAAAGCTTTTAGGAGTGTTACGAATGGTCGGAGTTTCTCTACCCCGTTCACACTTCCAACTTGTCATTTACTGCATAAATTAGAATTTTTGCCACACCAACTGATATGAATAGCGCAAGAAAAAGTTGTGGTAGAATTGAGAAAATCTAAATGTTTGTTTATTTTCTCAAGCCTTTTCTTTTTCATAAATTTTGATGTCATTATTAGTTGAAGGTCTCCCAAATTCCCCTCTTTTACTGGTTCCATGCTTTTAAACCCAAATTACCTAGACTCTCCCCATCGACATGTTGATCATATCCTAAACAAATAGGAGGGTAATACTTTTAAAATATACTTTATGTTATTGTCAAAATAAATTAAATCATCACACTTGGTTTAATGCTGGTTAAGGCAACTAGTTTTTATGCTATAATCTGCAAAACCTCGCCAATTCGAATTATTATAATTATAGTCAATTACAGGTTTCCTTTTTTGTGTACATCAAAAATTCCCACAAGCCGTCAATCAAATTTATGTAATTTAACAGTAAAAACTTTCCCAACGGTATTTGCGATCATTTTACAAGCTCTTCTACTGCAGCGTAATTTAATTTTCGTCTGTATTTCACTCGAAATCTCTATTTTAGGCCAAAAAAGGGTCGAAAATTTGTTGCGTGCAGCTGAGATAATGACGCCACCCTTATTTCCCCTTTGTATGCTACTTGACCGTTTGGAACCATTTCAATCCTTCATTTTGGTCTAAAATATGTTTTTTGCCGCAAATGTCCACTTCTGAACTAAAAAATTCTCATTTTCTTTCCATTGATTCATTTGTTCATGCCCTTCTTTGTGATTGGTTAATTTAAATTAATTAAATTTATCGATTTTTTAGCATTCAATTGGAAACTTTTTAACGGTACTTGTTAAATTGATAGGGCGAAAATCTGGTGGTTTTCCAGAGAGATTTCTTTGCAAAATAAACAAAACTATTTACTGAGCACAGTGTAGTAAAATGCATTAATTTGGAGAGCTCCTAAGTTCCTTTTGGGTCAATTAACTTACACTGAAATTCACTTCCGTCAATTTCCTTTTTTCCTCAATTTCGAAAATTGGGAATTTTTTTTTGAAATTATTTTAAGGCTTGATTTTTAGAATTTTCTACCTCCAAACTTTGGGAAATTTCGCCACATCTCGAAAATTGGAGTGGTATTATGTTTCAGTAATGAACGAACAACCGAGAGTAGGCCATTTGCCTAGAACTTCGCGAGTCATATACAAATCCGGAGCCTGGTTATTCGTGTCCATAACAGTTGGAACTCAATTAAATACTTGGCGAGGCCTCATGGGAGCATCTTTTACTGCTCTTGTGAATCAAATGATGGCATATAAAGGATGCCTACGCATCTTATTGTAGTCGCTCTGATATGCTTACAAAATTCGCACATTTATAATCGAAGTTCCGTTTTTTTATACTTAAGCAAGAACAATAGCACTTTTGTTTGCACTATCGCTGTAGGACAGAATCAGAACGTATGAATAATTTTGTGCGGTTTTTCCTAATTAAAGTCGGTCATTTGAACTGTAAATGTTGCTCCTATTTTAAAGTAAAATTTTTGTCTTGAAAATACGAGCACGGAATCATTTTTGAGCGGTATTTATCCTTGATTTAAGTCGGCTCGATTCTGCGACATTAAAGTTTGCGCAATGGAACCATTCACGTTCAATCCGCCTCCTACGACATTTTTCTGCAGAGGTATATGTTCTCCGTGCTAAAAGGAAGGCAATCTTCCTCAATTACCTACTCCCAGTTGCTAAATAGTGATTGCTGTTATATTCACATTCATTATTGGGTAATTATTAACCTTTGTCATTTATCTATTAGTTCTTTTGCACCCCTAATGCTTAATCCCGGCTGTGAGCTGGGCTATCAAATAAACCACCTGCTTTTTTGGCACGGAAACTATCCCAATAATTTCCCTTAACAAAAAATTAACAAAAAGGAACAATTAACTTTTTATGCACGCAACAGTGCTTTGTTTTGATATTCCTCCCAATACCATGGCAGTAAGGGAGTCCAGTCTTCTCTACTATTGCTCACTTCTTTACCATATGAGATCAATTCTGCCTGTATTTTAGGTTCGTTTGACCTCCTTGAGACATTTTTCTAATAATTCAATACAGCTTAAATAGTAGCATAAGTATAAGATCGCTCCAAATCAATCGTAGCTGGGGATTTGCTCAGTTTTATTACTTCGAGTTTCATCCCATTATCATCATTACTGTTTGCAACCTTCTAAATCACATTTGTGCAATTGTGGCCTCAATTCAAAAGTATCGGTTATCTTTGCCTCATTCACTGTCTTGAGCATAGACCTAAAAAGGATCAATCAAGGTATGATTGTCAATTAAAATGACTATTTACATGATTTATATGTGATGTTGAAGTTATTAATGTTCAAATCCAAAGCCAAGAATGGTTGGAACCTTTTAAGCTTGGTGAACGTGAGCAGACGATCATAGTCAGAGAATATCGTATAGTTGACTCCACGAATGGAACGAATATTGCCCTATGATACGAGGTTCCCACTTATTTGAATGTTTGTAAGTGATGTTATTCAAAAGGTGGTATATCTCAGACTTTTTGATGGAACCAACTATCGCGTCCACCTTCCGAGCTACTTGCTTGCTTATAGTTTTCTTGCTCGATATTACATAGAGTTGGTCCGCGTTATGCAACAAGCACAGTTAGGATGAAAATTACTCTTCCTAGGTTTAGTTACCTTAAGGAGAGTCATTTTATGGCACGCAAAAACTTCATTCTCTATCGCCTCCTTCTCTCTACTTTTTTTCCTCATTTTATAGCTATCCAGTTGCCTATTTGGCTTATTCTTGGCCTTTTACAGCTTGATGATGTATCTAGCCCTTAATATTTTCTTGCGATCATCGTAAGCGACTTTGATGCAAGTCTCTGCAGTAGATACCTTCCCTTTACGGATTATAAGCTTAGTATCCGCTTCACTAAACTTGGTTGCTTATTAATTACTTCTTTCACCACTGCACTGCACGAGTCATTCCTGATAACGTATAAAATTATTACCAATCTGAAAACATTTTCGTTAGAAACGCACAGGAAAGGTGAAGTACTAGCGGCCCAGATGACATTGGCTGGACGCTATCTTGCTTGATAAATGCCATGCAATTGAGAAGGCTAGCACAGTTGCACATATGAAAGCAACAAATATCGTTGAAGTATAGCATTGAAGCATGAAGTTGGCACTTAGCAAACCAAGGGTTATCCTATCAATTCAATTGTTATTTTAGTTAATTTATCTCCTCTGTACAAAGTTCGTACAAGCCGCTACTTTGATCGATCGGTAATGCCACACGTGACCTCACTTTCTTCCCGTGGCGGCAACTTTAATCCCTGCACCACCCTTAACCAGTCTTCCTGTATCACACCGGATCAGCTCTACGCCAACGCCGTTGTCGAACCCTTGGCCATTCGACACATCCGCTTCTGCGTGGAGTCCCGCACCCTCCTCCTTGCCGGTCAGAGGCACCTCTGCCTTCTCTCATTCTGTCGCAGCGAGTCTGCTTTTGAAATTCCCGTAAGAATTGGTTGATAAAAGTGATTCTGTTAGCAATCAGGTGGAATTCACTATGCCACTTTGCACTTTTTTTGTGTTCAAGAGTTTGTCTTCGAAATTCCTGAGGGCATTCGTCAAAAACAGCCTATTTTGAGTTGAGATAAAGCTTCGCGAGTTATGCCCACTTTCTTTGCTTAACCCCTTAAATGGCACGTGTTTATCTTCATGGCTGTTATTTAAGCGATGTAATACTTTCTTTCCTTCTGTTGTTCCAAATTTGCCTCTGAACTTCTTATGACTGGTTTTGAAGACGGATCAACTTGAATACTGTTAAAACTGCTTGGAAGATGCCTCTATAGGTAGGTTCGTTAAAATTACAAATCTCCAAACTGGTAGATCCTCACCCCTTAACTTTGTTTTGCCTTTGTTAGTAAAACCAATCTAAAGATTTTTGTGGTTTTCTTCCTAAAAACTCAGGGGGAATTGTTGCTTGGTCATTTGACTGGTGATCATTTTGAGTAATCAGTAGACAGAAAGGCTTGTATCCAGTCCTACATCTATTAGTTCGTGACTATCAAATTAAATCGAATTGTGGGAGCATTCGCACCGTATAAGTACCCAAATTGATCAACCAACTACAAAATAGATTTGCTCACATGATTCAAGCCGTAAGTCCGATGGAGCTTTGCATCTTGTTCTGCATCATAGAATCCATATTTGATATTTCTCTATATTCTCAGTCGAAGTTGATCGATATGAGTGACATTTAAATTTTTTAAAGCATATCTCATTTGTCTACCAAGCCTACTGGTCAATTTGTATTCATAGTCAGCATCGGAACTAGATCATGGCCCTACGTATTCTCCCTTTTCCCTGGCAAGTATGCTTTAGATCCATCTTTCATCACTTTCCAAATGCAGACAAAATTCGATTATACGAAATAACTTCTCTGTAAACCTGCTGTGGAAGTGTCACTTATTTCACCTCCGTGACTTACTGTTTGGGTTACTTTTTTATTATTTGAGTGGGTGGTTGATTGCGGCTAACTTTAAGCTGGGATAAAATCGTCTGCCCAGCTTTTATTTTCGTGTGTCGCTGGTTAACACCCTATTCGAATTCCATTATTTGTAAGAATGTTAAATGTGATAGGGTTTTCCGTGGCTGAATATATGCAGTACGATATATTTTGTTTTGCGGTTTCCCTAAACCAAGCTTGAGTAGCAGTTAAATTACCTAAATTTTTGCCGGCATGCATACCGATATTACTTTGATACTTCATTGTTTGAGAGTGCTTGAAAACACTATGAATACAATGGTTATCAGACTATTTTTCTTCCCATTCCCTCTTAGCATTGGTTGAGCCATGAATGAACACATTTTGAAGCCGATTTCAATGGTACCTTCACTAACCGAAGCGTACATTTCAAACTTAAGGTGTAGGTCAAACACAACGCCCTTGGGACAGTAAGGGTCTTAGCTTGTTAGCCAAATAAATGAAGTTATTCATTATGATCTGGCTTAGCGAACTCAGGCATAATTTTGGAACTCGTGATATTTGATAGTAACCGGTTCTTTATAATAGATCTTCAATCGGAAGTTGCTTGCTAAATTTGGGCCATATTTTTAATTTCTCTAAAACTACATTCTTGCAGGGGTTTTAAACAGGATTAAGCATAAAATGCAAGCAAAATTAACTCACAGCATATCTCTCTCTTCAATCTGCTGGAATGTCATCACTGAATGCGTAACCTGCGAGTTCTTAATGGTCTGCTACCCCATCCACTTCCTCCTCCACTATTTGACAAAATCGGGTTTCTTCATCAGTCCTCGAGTGTTTTGTTTGGATCTACAATAAACCTTGCAGTTTTTTACTCAGACATCCATTTTTGTAAGTTGGAAAATGTTTAGTCCTTTTAACTACTGATCAGCTTATAATGAGTGGTAGTTAAATGATCCTTTCTAGTATAAGCAACGTTAAAAATCCTGACTCCTTACTTAAAAATAAATAGCGGTATTTTATAATTTTTTCAATCTATACTATATTGGTAGGTTTGTTTATTTTGTGATAACACAACGAACACAACCCGAATGAATATCAAAATTGTACTAGATCTTGTTTTCTTTTTGCCCTCCCTTTCTTTACGTCAATCGTCCTGGTTTAAGTGTAATACAGAACTCGTCTTTCGACCGGTTGCACCAGAACTCAATTGGAGTGCCAAATGAAAGGAGTTTGGCCGCATTAACTTAATTCAACGGCAGTCAGCTCCTACTTATATGCCTCACTAACGTCCCATGAGTAATTAGATGTCACAGCGACAGTTAGGTAATTTCATTTTTTCCAAGCTGTTCAGTGCGAATGCGCTTAGTAGTATCAGTTGAATCGCATCATCAGCTCCATTTAGGTATCCATCTTTTCATCGCATTATTCAATGCATTTAAAAGCTATGTTATTTTATGTCCACTTTTTCCCGTTATAGTGTAACAGAACTGAAACTTTGTTGGAATGCGGCTAATTTCATGGCAATAAAAGTAGTTGAATTAATGAGGCATTTGTCATATTTGGCTTTCTAAAGGGCAATTATGGACGTGAAATTGATTTAGTGCTTCCCCAAGTATTTTTTCCGAGTGCAGTTATAAACGTTCCTATTTTTCTAAAATCTACTTGGGGGAGGAAGACTTTATTGAGTACCAAATACCTGCAAATTTCAAACTGAGCTTGTGAGAAAATTTCCAATCCTGTGCTCCTTTTTAATTCGGAATTTTCTTTTGGGTTTGCTTGGAAAGCTTATAAATGGTTTGAGAATAATTTTTTTCCGCAGATATTTTTCAGTGGAGAAACGTTCTGTTTAAACTCAAACCAAGATCAACCTCTCTGACAGTTATTGACGCCTTTTAAAAGATCAATTTTGGTTGATTAAAAATTATTAGAAGGTTGGATAAACTCATATTCTAGCAAAAGTGCATAAGCGTATTAATTACTTTATTATATGCTTGGTAATGATGGTCAAGTACATGTCTCTGTTGATCCAAATACCTCGAGATTAACGTATCGAGAATAGCTTGCAACAGTTTAATGTTTAACGTGGGTAGTGATGAAACAATTCATTTGCATCAACATTAACTAAGAAAGCCGTATTAAAAACTATTAACAAAATGGATCTCAAGGGTGCAGACACGCCTTACTGACTATTACCTTTTATATCTTATCCAATCATGCTGTTGGGGAGGTTTTTTCTCACCAAATGACCTATTGGTTGTTTGATCCGCGACAGGAAGTGACTTTTTTATTAATTTCAACGTTTACTAAGTGACCAAACATATTGCTGTTTATCCCCAAACTAGCTACTTACTGGTATGTTTACCATCACCCCCACTTCTCATGTACTTCATGTCCACAAAACTACACTTCCCCTGTGTATAGGGTGGAGTGGGAGTTAGTTCCTTACTGAAAACCGAACGATGGTTGCAACCGATTTTGATCAGCTTGATGCGACGTGAATCTGCGCAAGGAAATTTTCCGCCTAACAAACAATCAGGTCTGGTCGATCAGTGGAAAGGTCTAATTTTCGCAGAACAGTGCAGGACCTAATATTGGCAAAAGTTGTTCGTAGGAAGCATCCCACTTTAGGATAGTTGAAAGTGGAAGCGATATTGCTCGTTCTGCATCTTCTTTGTCGTCATCCTTTGAATTCCTCCAGTAATATATTTCTTAGAGTGGTTGTCATTATGTCTTGATACTAGACGACCACAAGCAATTTTGAGTGGCCAGGTGGCTAGTCTTTTTCTTGATCTGTAGGACCTGAGTGTTGTAAAAGAGTTAATTTTACAAGTCTGCATGTCCTGGATAGAGAAAGAATTGAAACCTTAATAGCTTTTGATGAATTGTGCAGTTATTTGGTCTTCATTACGAAAGCCGCGCGAACTCATTTAGTTAAGTGTTTTTGAACTTTACATGAAGTATGCTCAGCTTTTTAAGACAGTTAATTTGAAATTTTTACTGCTGAGCTATGAGGTAAGTTCTTCTTTGAAATTTTCGGGAATTAAGCCGACTAAATTGTGATCTAGATGGATTATTGTCTGTCTCAAAGGAATAATTGTTCCGCTGATTTTTAAGTTGGTGGATGATAGGTAATTCAACTAAAGATAATGGGGACAATTTTTGTTCGTTTCACACCTTATAATTGTGTACGATGGTTAATTTTCCTCAATGCTTGCTGAACAACTTCATCCATCCGTAAATAAAGTCATTGTTATGTATTTGGATGGGGCTTATGACTCAACCTTTTAAGTCAAGACGTGGTTTAGTAATCCCTCCAGATATTTGGAATTCCTGCAGTTGATCCCTTAACTAATCAATCTAAATAAAATTACTACTGTGGGACCATTGAAATATGGGACTCATAAATCAAGCCAATAAAAATATGTATTACCGTTAAGAGGGCATTATTTGTTATGACTGAAATATCATTAGTTGCACGTGTTTCCTTCCTTGTGATCCATATATTATGATTAATAATTGCAAAGAATTTTTTTTCCACTTAAATCGTTGGATTCTTTTAGAGGGTATAATTCGTCTGTTTAAAAATCATCACTATTTAAATTTGACTCAGTTGCCTTGAAATCAAGTTTTCACTCTCAAATGACTACTCGATAGCAAGAAAATTTAGATGCTAACTTGAATTTGAGCACTTTTTAACCTTCTTTAGAACATTGAAGCGGTAACGAATAACAAACAATAGTAGGCCATTAAATATGCTAAACTTTATTCCATTTCCAGGGTCATGCACGCCATAGGGCGTGTAGAGCAACCCTTTCAGCCAACTTCCAGGCCAGTGGTCAGCTCAAGGTCATTTTTCATCCACATTGCTGGCTCATCTAGGCATGGTAACTTAAAGAAGGTGGACATAACCGATCGGTTGCTTGAAAGATTATCGCCGCTCATGGCCATATGTATTGATATCTCACCTGCATTTTTGATATCCTAACACATTTCAAGAGCATTTTAAGTGAATTTTAAAAACTGCTTTTGAAAAAAAGACTTGCTTTCGGAACGAGATTGTTTACCGTACAAATTCACTTGAGTGAGGAAAAATTTGTAGAACATTTACCTATTGCATGATTCCATTAGTCATATGTTCGTAATCTCGTCTTGTGAGTATACCTAGGTAGGATTTTATTACTTATTTTATTGGATATATTTTAAAAGACTGTGGCTGATCGGCACAAATTTTACCATGGAATTAGTAGTTGATTTGGAGTTGCTTACTCTTAAATGCATTCGATTAACTTGGTTCACTGGCAGTAATTTTATTTAAAAAAACCTTTTTAATTATTGCTCCTCCATCCTACTGCAAGCACATAGCCTAGGACAATAAATTCAGGATTTCAAAACAGTTTATTATCCAAAGAACTTTTTATTTAGGTGATTTTCTCCACCACTCTCCTCACTGTCGTTCATGGTTTCCTTTGAAACGACTCTTTCGCATATTTCAGATTCACTCACGCAAGATACTCCACTTTTTACCTGTAGGGAAACTGCATTCAACGCAATTTCTCTCCTTCCTCTTTTCAATTAGTGTGATTTATTTCCTAGCCGGGGGGGAGGGAGTGAGGTTTGAACAGTGACAAAGAGGAATTGCAGCAATTTTGACGTCAAATAAAATTGAGATGGAGAATGTTTTGCTAGTAAATTCGTTATGTAGCCTAATACCCTTTGCTTCTAATTTCTTTACCAACAGTTCTTCGCAATAAACGTTTTGAAGCAATTTCTGTAATCCACTATGTCGTCTATGAATCTGTTTTAGTTTTTAACAGCCTCACCTGATAATTTTATTAACTTTTGCTATTAAATGAGTCTCTCTCAAGCCACCAGGCTGATTAATTTTCAACTAAAAGGCAATTTGTTTAATGGCTCGCCCCAGTCACGAAGGTAGTCTTCGATTGGACTTTTTTAATTCCGCGAAGTGTAGTTTTTGCTGATTAGCTCTTTAAAATGCGCTCCTGCCCCTATGACGTCCAATCAAACGAATAATGTCCTTCTCATTGCATCAAAATTAACCTGAATTTATAGTTGGGGGCTCAAGTTTCCGACTGGACCAGGTTGAATATATTGTCGACAAAATAGAATGCTGAACTTAGTGTAAATATGTCTTTAATTGTTATTCTCGTTCTTTTATTTCTGAAAAGGTCTTTCACTTACTAAATTTTTCGGTGACGGATCAAATAGAGCTTAAGTTCTACAACATAGTTTTGAAAAATTTCACTAACTTTCCACGTACTTTTCTAACCACTTAATTTTGAGATTCCTTTTTTGGATTTTCACATTCTCGATCGACTCAGATACCGATGCTTCGGTTGTTAATGTCCGTAGAAAGTTATGTTAAATTGAAATTTATATTGCAAGCGCGCATCAATCCCGAAGTTTTTCTTATTGATTTGACGAAAATGCTGCTTCGAATACCACGAGCTTTTGTTGGTTATTTTGACCCTCATTGCCTCATTCGTCAGTTTGGTTAGCAACTGACGTGTAAATTATTAAGTACCTTGAAAAGCTCAGGATCTTGGACATGGAAGAGTGCAAAACGAAGGAAGGGCCTTTTTTTCAAGTTGTCCCTACTCAAATACCTAATGGTACGAAACTCTTTACTTAAGATTTTTGAACATATGTAATTTTTTCGTGCACTGTAGCATGAAAGAGGACCAAATTTTTTAACTCTAACTGGTTTTCTACCACTTTTAGTTTTGACAGCAGTGAAGTGGGAAATATTTTTTGCACGTTGCTCCAGAAAGAACATTTGGTATGAATTAAATGCTCTCTAATCTGAATTTAGAGGAGAATGTGCTTTACCTAAGATAAACAAATTCCCACCGCCTAGTATCTGTCGCAGAATCTTTTTTTATAACAAATAGGGGCATTTTGATGAGGGACAGTTTTTTTGGTAAAAAATGATACTTTGATATATTTTGCATCTTAAAATGGATTGAAGCCCCATAAAATCCCTAATTCGTTTTAGAAAGCCAATTCAGCAGAAATAATATTCGCATGTAGTGGCTCGAAAAAGATGAATTAGTTTTTTGAATACGATATGTAGTTAATATAATGTGTGCTGCTACCCACCGTCAAGTGGCTGAAAATCCCCACTGATTTTGTTTGATCACGAAAATGGTTATTTTGTCTTGGCTTCAAATGTTCCTTCGAAATAATCATTCATCTGGGTATTTTGTTGTTTTGAAGAACCGCGAAAACTAATTGCACACCAAACAGATCAGCATTTGGATATACGCCTCTTTTAGAATTGGGTAAAGTCTAAAAATAAATAACTTTTACTTTGCAGCAGTGAACAGCAATTATTACTACATTGCAACTGTAGATCATCACTGTTAATTATATGCAATCGGATGTGTTGTGATATGAAAGTATGTAATTTCTTGCAAATAGGCCTACTTTTTTAATTTATACGATAATAATCCGAAAATATCCCTTATGAAGTCCTTAAGAGATCTGGTTTAACAAGAATAGAATCCCTCAACAATCTAATTTTAGAAAAGAATAATTTCTTATAGCTAAGTTACGGAGGCAGGTAATGTGACATAAACTGCCACCCACCATTCATTGTCTGAGGTTCCTTAACCGTTTCTTATCGCTAAATTTTGGCCACTTGAACTTTTACATCGGATTTTAGTGACAACTATTAGATGACTAAAAGAATTGGTTGAAGTTTTGTATGTCTTGTATATCAAACACACGAATGTTTACAAGTGGTAATTTGTAAAGACTACGTTCAATGCGTCTGTCCATCGGTGCAGTGTTCTCTGTTGTGCCCTCTACTGCGCCATTATTTTGAGCCCTCATGCCATCAAATATCGTTTGAACGGGATGGATCTGATTCCAGTTTGTCCGCTTTTTGAAACGATATTAAATGAATTCAAACACTTCTTGTCGAATGCGTTGTATGGCATTTGGAGAGGTGGTATGTGACGGCAGAGCATATCACCCAGAACTAATTTAAAAACCTGAATATAGTGATAAAACACTCAAAGTTACATCTTGAAGACCCTATTTATGGCAATTATTAATTGTTACATGCCAATTTTGAAACAAATACTATGGTATTTACGAATAGAGACCGATTTTTGGTAGTTTACTGCAGTTTCAAATTTGTGTGCAAAATTTAAGCGATTTCGTTTATCTACAGGTTCTGGATATCTATCTGCAGTACGAGGAAGACCAAGCTGTCGAACCCCCGGTTGGGATCGTAGACGAAACCAGTTCCCTTGTGAGTTCCTCCTCTGGACGTCGGGGCACTCCACAGGTTCCCGCAAACTCCACATCGTATTCGACATCTCCTGTCCAAGCTCACACCGAAAAGGTAGGAGTGGTTAGGTTGTAATAATTTCAAATCCTATTGGGTGGATGCAGGGTATACCTATTTTGACCTTAATTGACAGCTTCATTATTACACTAATTAGCGCAACTGCTGAGTCCGTTTTTTAGAACACGATTTATTTCTTTACAAATCAAGTTTATTATTAATACAAAAACTTAGCTTGTCTTTGCATAGACTCTAAGACTGCTCAAAGAAGTCACTCTAGCCTTGCTCGCCTTTGTAATATAGCTTCTGAAATGTCGTTATGTTCTTTTCGGATGCACTCTAGCCATATCATTTATTGTGTTCCTAATAAGAGATAAAAATTGGTCCTTACCCTGTTGATGCCTTCCATAATGTTATTTCTGGTACAATAGTCCAAGAGGTTTAAATCAGATAGGGAGTATAGGCAGTCTCTCCACTAAGACTGCATGGGAAGCAGGAGTCCTGCTCAAAAACTGTCATGTTCTTTCTGAAGAAATCTATAATTCTTTTACCCAATACGGGTTGTATTAATTATGTACGAAATACTTGGGTAAATTTGACATTTGTGTTATTATCTAGTCCTTGGAAATAGGAGGAAAATAGTCTCTGAAGGTGGCAGAAGCCAGACGTCTTTACAAAAGGTGTAATTTCAAAATCTGCGTAATTAGTCGAGGAAATAAAAAACTTCCACGAGGTAAACACTTTATTTTCTCAGGATAATCACCGCAGAGTCGCCGATCAGTGACATTTTGTCTAGTCAGAGTTCCACTAAAATATTTTATGAATAGTGCTCACTAAAAGGGTCATGGTAATCGCAGTAATTCTAGAGAGAGTGAGGTGCTAAATTGAAATTACCATTAATACACTGCTTTTATTAGCTTAGAGTTTGTTGGACACTTCATATTTAAACCTAATTTCGTACTTATTTTTAGGATGGATTCGTATCTTTGTTAATTGCACTGTCTTTTGTCACCTTACCGGTCTGGGAAACTATTTTTTAATTCTTCTCTCGTCAGGAGGGCAAAGTTTCTGTCATAGTACGAGCAGGAGTGCGCGAATGGAATGCTGGCTATCAGCCTTCCCTCATCTGCCGTCTGGCTGCTCCAAATCTGTTTCTTTCACCGTCCGAAGTCGGCGCAACTGGCTACACTTCCAACCCTTCACCAATCTCTGCTATTGCTCTTACCTCCGCCACAAATTTGTGAGTTTTAGGCACCCAGGAAGGGCTTTGAGTAGACGCACTTTATTTCACAATTTTTGTTGCGTTTAAATCGGCCGGAAATTATGTGTATTAGTGGTTTTAAAGTTAAGGAGGTACTTTCATACATAAAGAATAAAAGATTACATTTTTGAGGAGTAGAAATTTTTTTGTATCAAAATGATTGGTTTCGCGCTTATTTTCTCCAATTTCAAATTTCTGCAATCGTTAATGATTGCACTATATGCACTGTTCCTATGGAAAGATTTGTTTGACGTACAATTTTGTCAAATGATGGATTTTTGCATCAATCAAACGTCCAGGATGAGGTAGTGTTTCATGTGCTGGTTAAATAAAAAAAAACATTTGCTATGATGTTTGCTGAAACTAGAACCATGATGGTCAGGATCTTCGCTGACGTACAGTCGTACGATCGAATGTCTTTGAAACATTTAAACAGTTCAGATGTCTTACCACTGAGTGGCTGAGCACCTCATACGAGCGGGTACCGCCGGGTTCAGATTTTGCGTCTTTGTTCACAGGAGAATTTGTTTACCACCACACAGCTCCATGCACACAAGCACCACCGCTGTTATCGTCTATCTTGATTAATAGCATCCGGAATGGCTTATAATATGTGAACCAGAATGCCATTTTTTTGTAAATAATTAAAATTTAAAATTATAAGAACGCCTTTCATGCCATAACTTGAAGGCTCTGATGCAGAAACACTTACATTTGTCTTACAGCATGGAATACACGGCTGTAGTAGTAGTAGCAGTTTTTGTTATAATCACTTTTGCCATTCATCACCCAATTTTTGCATTATAATAGACATTTTTTAAAAGGCGGGCTTACATCACGATATGTCGCACTTTGAATGAGTTTGATTGCAAAATCGAAAGCCTTTATCAATTGCAGTGTTACTTATCCAGGGGTCTTATTTTGATTGAAATTAAGAGCTTGTGTATTTTTACTTATGTTTTTGAAAACTGATTGAAAATTAGTTTTTTTTGCTTGATACTTCAAATGGCATTCAATGCGTTTATTTTTGAAGGCTATACAGTTAAATAGATAGCCATCAGGAATTTTAACGGTTTTATATCTTTTTCAATTGCTTCTAGTCATTGTGTTTTTATGCAGATTATCCTTTCAATTCTTAAAACACACCTTAAAGTTTCATTCTAAGTCTTTTTTAAACTTGCAATGAATGTTGCATTGTTTGTTTTGCCAAGGACAAACGGGAGAGATTCATCATAAATTATGAGCCTCCAATATGGTACTGTTTATTTGTCCATATTCAACGGTAATGCATAGTGAAATACGCAGACAAAATGAGTTGTTTTCTGACATGAAACAGATAACTCGCTTTAATAGCTGGAATTTACGTTTTAACATGTGAAGTGTTTACACTGTATGCACTGTTGCCATGGTTCAGGTTTGCATAACATGGTCTGGTGGTTCCAAAGTTGCAAAAAAATTAAAACTTCCTACTGCGGTAAATAACGTTAGTACCAAACTACAGGTGTGACTCACCTTCTGAGCCGTTTTCTATTTAAAATGCACACAAATTTGTCACTGAAATGAGATGCTTGGTCACTATGGGGTGTTGATTTCTCGAGAGCTCTACTGGATATAATTCCTGTTTGTTTGTCTTGTTTGTCTTTTGTTAACAAATAAACAATACAATTAATCAATGCAACACGTTTTTTTGTTTTATTGAGTTGGCTTTGTTTGTTCTGTGTCGTACCAAAATACTTCATCATTTACCGATTTACAAAGCCTATTGAGTGAGAAAGCTTTGCTAAGGAATATTCGGTCTTTTGTCAAATTTTATCACTGGATGCGAAAAGTGTATGAATTGAGTGTGTCACACATTCTTATGCCTTTACTTTCATAAAGTTTTACCCTTACCGCTCGTAAGCGGTAAGTACACTGGCAGATTTATCTACCTCCGAAAAGCGTTGCATAAACTTTGGCCTTTTTTAGAACGCTTTGATGAGAGTTAGACTTTGGGCACTGTTCACCCCATGTTTTGCGGTTTTTTTCGGTGCTTTTTTTATACGTACGAAGTTTTTTTCTAAAATGTCGAAAATAGTGAATATGAGTGGGGAGATAGTATCCGATACTGACAAAACTTGTGGTGCTACCACTTGGTCGGAGAAGCTGGCTCCTTGTTCCGTTTACTGTAGATGTGCCACCTTAGAATGAAACACTAACTCATATTCGTCAGTATTACTCAGAAAAGAATTTATGGCGTCTCCCATCAAATCGTCTGTGACCAGAATAAAGAGTTTTAAAATGTCTTCATTGATGTGACCGACGCCGAGTATCCCTAACTTCTAACGATAAAGAGAGCCGTAAAACTAAATTATGGAATTTAGAAGCTGGGTGGGATCTGCTTACGTCCTGATTTATACCATTCTTTAGCTAGAGCTATCCATAATCCCTGATAACACACTGTCTGTTACTTGGAGTCTTGTTTTTTGTCCTAATCAGCAAATTTTAGTAATAACTGATAGATTTCATCAAAATTTTGTCGTTTTTCTTTACATAAGGCGATTTTTAGGTAAGTATTAAGTGCTTTTTTGCAAAAGGATGAGAGTCTTGTTCCCAACCAGAGATCTTATCTTTCTAATTGTAAGAACTCATTTTCCTTTTTTTTTCCGGCGACTATGCCAAACAAATAGAACTAACATAAGTTGTCATCTTTTGTCAACCCAGGTGTTTACAAAATGCTAGACTTGATAAAACTAGTCCTTAAGCTATCGTGAAATTTTGAAAAAATCGCAATGAATGAAACGTTTTTTTTTGTTAATAGACTTTTTTTCAAAAAATCGCCTTCATTTTCAAGGGAGCATTTGTGCTAGTCATTGGCCCCTACTTTTTCCACCGCAAATCCAATTAGACTAAATGGCTACGGCTGAGAAATTCCTCCTTCTATTTTTGTTAAAAAGAAATTTCCTCTAGTAAGAATCCGTTTAAATTTTCGCTGTCTTATTGGGCAAGTGATGGAATTGGATTGGATTCATCATTCGGAACTTTTAATATTTAGAATTCCAATGCACAGTTGTATCTATACTTTAACTGAAAATGTGTTATTTATTCATTTTCCGCACATTTTTTTGTTTATTTCCCTTGCAATTTAGAACTCAGGCGTGACAGAATTAGTCCTCATTCACTGATTCGAATACATGTTATTTATATTTGCCTCTCAAATAAATTTGATTAAAGTATATTTCGCATCAAGAATTGGAAACTTTAAAGTAATGCGATCATACTGAATAATAATGTGGAAGTTAACGTAGGGCAAATTCTTCACGGACTGTAATGTAGCTCAATATTCTCCTCTGTGGTGCTGTCTTAAACAAATTGCTGTGTCTAATTAAAGATTAAACATGTTCTATTCATTATTCCGCTTTTATTTTGGCTGACAGGTTCAAGTACTGGAAAATTAACGCCTTGTTTATCCACCTTGAGATTACCTTCTCTTGCCTTTAAGCACAGCATTTTTAGATATAAAACACTTAAATGCTTTAAAGACGCTAACACTTAAAATGATTTCGTGACGTCCTTGGCACCCTTTCATTTGCAGTTGTCGAATTTAAGTGGTATAAACTCGTCTCGGAGGGAAATTTGGCTATTTCGAGAACTTCTTGATGAAGCAACTCATATAAAACGTAGACTTACTTTAATTCAAAGTAGAATTCACTCCATTTAAAGAAAAAAGATCAATATTTGACTTTAAATGTGATATGTGGTTGTACTAAGTCAAAAATTGAGACATGCTTTTTTAGTTCAATTAATAGTTTTTTGATACACTAATGCCAGTTGGGTTAGCATACGCCAAAATAAGGTTGAAAACTCCCCTCACAAGAGTACAGAGATGTATTCTCCTGCCTGAAATTTGTTAACCTTGTTACGACTGTCTATTTATAAAAATGGGATTTCTTAGCTTTATATTCATCCTGCTCTACTGGGAGCGTAGAAAATATAAGTGAGTATTTAGGCATGCTACTTAATTTTGATGAGGTTCAGTAAGTTTATACACTCGACATGTGCATTGCAATAACACTTCCCGATATGTCATCACAAAGGCTTTAAAAAGCTCCTTTTTCAATTTTAATGTCTTGAATGTGCTTCTCAGAAAAAGTGCTGATCAAAATCACTTACAGTATTTTCAGTTTCATCCAAAATTTGTTGTGAACGTGTGAGAATTTGATAAAAAATGTTATTAGGCACTTGTTGATTTTTGATTTACAGATTCGCTTTTGGAACAGATGGAGGTATAACAGTTGTTGATTACTATCAGGGCACTTGCCTTGTCTGCGTAGCTGCGCCCGAGCTCGAAGGTTCGTTTCATTTTCCCACCACATGCTACTTAATCCCCCATTTAGCAATTAGGTGTAAAGTTTCTGGCTTCATTAAATTGACATCATTATAGCATTTCACTTCAAATTCCTAGCTGTTTTATTAATTATAAAGTTTTACAACCAAATTGCGCATTTTATTTGCTATTGATGCTTCCTTACAGCTACTTTTATGGAACCACTGCTTCGTCGAGTGTGATTTTCACCTAGAAGTCACTGCAAGAGTCTAATTGGCTCGAAACACGTGGTCAACATATAAATATTTACTTAAATGCCTACGCGAAATCTGTGAATAGGCGGGGAAATTTCGATTTACTCTGGCTGAGAATCTTAACCCCGAAAATGAGCTAACCACCAGAAATGGCTGAAATTGGATGTTTCACGTTTACCAATCCAGCAACTAGGCCCTCACTACTAACATGTATTTTCCGGCCCTATCTTTTCCGAACGTTTCACTTTTTCACTGTTTTGTCTTGCTGAATATGAGGTTTTTGTTGGGCTTTAAACATGTCCAAGGTCGTAAGGTAGTTAAACTAAACTAGGGTTTTTAAGCATTTCTTTCCCATAGATGTCTGAAAATGTAATCGTAAGAGTTGGTATGCTTCCAAAAGGTTACATCTGCTTGGATTAACAAGGCAATTGGAAACACTTGATCATCCCTTCCGGAACCGATGTCATCTGAGGTTAATCCTATCGCCCTAAAGAACTTCTACATGTACAATTTCCTGATTATGTTGCAAAAACACTCTGATCGAACCTAATTTTGCCTGGAGTTTAATATTAAAAAATACCACCTCTGTTTCGTTTTGTCTAATAAAGGCTGTTTTTAGTTGGACAATCACATATTGAGACATTATTCAAAGAAGACCAAAACATTTATTGGCGGGTTGATTTGTTTCTACTCTATGTTCGAACTGATTTTATTTGGTTTGAACATAAAATAAAAACACCGATTTAGAACTTAAATCACTCTATAGGACTCAGTCATTACGATTACGGGACTCGCCAGGATAAATTTGCAGATGATTGACCTCCATTTTTCATTTAAAATAAAGATTTTATGCAGTTATGTTCTTCAATATCCAAAAGATTCCAAATTAAACTGTTTCTATGTACTTTTTAAGCTCTGGATCCGCTCGTCCGCTCACGACCAAAGTCTTCCTCACGATTTGCCAACTCTGGAAACGGCTCTAAAACAACCGCGGCTGTTTCCATCGCTTCCTCAGGTGGAACAAGCAACAATCAGGTTGGTAGTGCTTTTTACAAATTCACAAGCATAAATAAATATGATCCCTCAATGGTAGATCTATATAAAAGGTGATAATTTATGAAACAATCTGTTTAATTATTAGTTTTTTTGATAGAGAGGTCTAGAATGCTAGAGCTCTTACATTATCTAGATATGAACTTTCGTAGGCTTTTCAATGTGAGGGATCTCGGTACTTTTTGCCATTTCTGCACGTGCATGTCGAGTGAAGCGCCATTGTTGTTTTTTTTGTTGTGTGTAAATCGTTAGTCTTCCCCGCCAACATTGCCAAAACAAAAATCCACTATTTTACCCCACTCACCACCGCCGCCAATAGGGAAAACTGCCAGTTCATGGCACTTATTTCGTTTACCCTGGAAACGTCGAGCCACCAATACCAGTTTTCATCATCCACTTCGCAAAATCTATCGATCTACGGGAAGACGTTTTTCATCTATTATGGCCCCAATGGATTCTGCCTCTCCTCAAAGCGCCCAAAACCCAAGCCTTACCACACGCTGGCTTATTTACTTTCACTCCAATCGTGCCTCTCAAAAGCAGCAACGTCAGATGTCGACCCTGCCAGAAGCTCCTATCCTCCGAATTTTTGATTTCCGAGGTACCGATAAGGCGAAGCCGAAAATTATCTCGGTGGCTTCTCCAGAGACCGTAATGGCTTCTTCCCCACTACTGGCTTCAAGTAATAATCCTCCCATAAACATTACTACTTGTTGTTTGTAAGCAGGTGTGTTTTTGTTATCTAAAGTGCAAATTAATGCGAACCTCTGTCGCACTGTAGTCAATCCACGAGACGCTAAATGCTCAATCCAGTCAGTATGGCTCACCCCCAACTAAGTCAGCTCAGGAAATGCTCATTTCCATGGGCAGTTCTGAGATGGCAGTGGGCACACCATCACGACTGACTGCGCTGTCGCGCGGTTCAACACGCACGGATTTGAAAAGGGCCAAATCACAAGGTTTGAGCATGCCACAAAGTGCCACCTCCATTTGTGCATGGCTAATGTCATTAGAGTTGAACTGCATGAACCTGCCTGCTGCTGGTTTTTTACTAGAAACATATTGTTTATCCTTAATGATACTAATAAGTCGGGGTTGATCGGTAACTATGTCATACCGTCTCCACGTTTGCTAATTGTTTGAATGGACTTTCGGGGCAAATGAAGTGAAACAAATACTGTCTGCTGCAAATTTGTAAAAATTGTATAGAGCATCACTTATGCAGAGATGTCGGCTCAAATATGAGTTAAAATAAGGAAATATCATAGCACTATGGAAGTAATCGCCGTTAGATTCCTCAAAATTCCTAAAAAAATGGGCCAAGATTTATTCAGTTTATGAATGTATGTTTACTTTAACAGTCAGAAAACTCATAAATTTGGGTGTTTGAAGTTTTGCGTCCAGAAATATTGGGGAAATTTTGTTTTATTTTAGGCGAAACTTTCAAAAGTATCGAAATCAAATGGAAATTAAGACTAACTCCAAATAAATTCGTTTATTAATTGTACCACCTAATGATTTTTGTTCTTTAATAGATTAAATTAGTTTCAATAGCGGTATAGGGTTTTTAAAATAATTGTTTATTTTGCAGTCGAAAATGACAACTTATAATTGCTGCAAAAATGATAAAAATCGACAAGAATTATACTTGATTCATATAAGCGATGATTAACTAACGCTAATACCATCCTTCTGATCCCGTTCCTGAGTCCCGTTGAATTGCTTTCTCCTTTACTGCATGCCTTTGTTGTCATTATCTAGTGATGTTTCCCCAAATGGAACCCAACAAAGGCGAGTCCAACCCTCTCCTATCTCCCCCATCAGGTGAATTCGGTTTATCATTTTGTTTCCCCAATTCACCCGCAACATTCCTCGCCTCTGCACGCTCAAACTTGGGTGCAAACGGAATTTTCCGCTTATCCTTAGATGTAATTTCTACCCATACATTCAATTACACAGATGCTGCTTTTGGACAATCGTAAACTCTTATCTTCACTAATACTCGTAGTAGGTATATTTTGTTTGTTCTATGGCTGATTGCCGCAACGAAAAATTTGTTCAATCTCTCATTATAGTTACTACAGGGAATTATTAGCGTCCCTGACTCAGAGCTATTTGTTTTTCTCTCTCAACCCTCTTGGCGGCTTCGCTGTTCATATCAAAACTGTTTAATCGAGTATCTCAGTAGTATTTTGCGAGTAAAATTGAATTGGTTTTATTATCTGGTAATTATTACCGCATTGAATGACTACTTATCCTTTTGGACGAGCTTTTGGTTTTCCTCTGTATTTTCTGTCGCTCCTCTGCAACAACGTGCACTAATTATCCATCTCGAACCCATCATTTGTTACAGCATAACAAATACTTTGCACCAATTCCACTAAAACATTCATTTTCTGGTCCACTCCGTAGTCCGCCGAAGAAGTTGCTGCTCTACTTCACTACTTAAACGCAAGTCATTCACCACCACAAAATCTCTAATTTTGCAGTACCCTAAAGTTGAGAGTTTTGAGGTTTTCAAAGTGCCAACATGGTTCACATTAACACTGTCATTTTGAAAACAAAACTGATTTAAAATAAGTGGGAAATCTCTTTTAAGCTCTGCACCTGCTTCATGTTACGTAAGGTCATTGTATTGCCGGAATTTCACATAACATCTCACTTTTATAGTATCTCACTGCATGCAGTGGTTGTGTGGTTCGACTATACTGATTTGTATCTTACAAGGATGACTTGTTACAATTTCCGTTTAGACAAGTACGGTGACTCCCCATCCCAGCGACAATCAGACACGTCTGAACAGAGTTCAATTGACCAGTCTGTGCTGGAGGGAATTCGGACACTTGCCTTTGTTGATATGAGCGATCGTAAGAACGGTGAGTTCGGAGCAAATACACATGCATTAATCAGTAAGAAAGGTCTAAACATTCCCCTAATCTTTTAGAACCTTCCCTTTGGGTGGGAACTAATCGTGGATCTGTATTTGGTTTCACTTTGGATACTTCGGAAGACTCAAATTCGCTTGCCCCTGGTTATAATCTCTTGGGTAAGGATTTGTCGGCTTGTTTGTTGGATTCTTTATTTACTTATTTTAGGTTCACTATCAAAAGTGCAAAACTATATGGTAAAATGATATAAAAGGGGAAATTTACCATTTGTGTTTGTTCTATGAGGGAATAAAAGGTGTTATTTCCATTCATACATTTGTATATATCAGCGTCATCCCAGATTTATTTTCTGCCATTTATTAATCGTCTCCAAAATCTTTGTAGCCCATTGTTTTTTCCATAAACTTGATTACCTTTAAGAAGGACGTAGTGAAATTAATGTTTGCGATCCAACTATAAAGCGACATCAATTCATCAACTGCAGTTTACGGCCAAATAAATGAGAGTTAGAGTAAAATTATCAAACAAAATACTTATGTCAAAATTATTAAGTGTCAATTTCGGGCATTCTTGATTTGTTTTCTCAGTGAACATTAAGGTGATTTAGTGGTGGATTTTGTGGGTGTAACACCAAATTTTGCTTGTGTGAGTAAATGAGTATACCCACTCTTTGCTCTGGTTGCTTTAAATTGTTAATGCAGGAGCAGCTGGAACTGCCCTGAGGACATAGAAAATTTCGAAAGTTTAATTCCGTAAAATACCTGCGAATCGGAAGATGAATCTTTATAAGATCACTTTTATGGTAGCAAACGAAATTGCGTACTTTACACTTTACCGAAACAGCCAAAACGTCCTCTTTAATTTTGTATTTCTGCAAGCTATTTTACACCCATAAATCGAGTTTGAAAGTCTTCACCTCCAAGTGCAGGCATTTAAGTTCCTATTATTTGCCAAAATCGTTCGTTTCTATGCCTTGTTAGGCGGCAGCGCAATTAGTGAGACTTTGCGAGAAAATAATACAACCTTTTGGTGAAAATTCAGTTCTTTTATGTAGTGTTGTACAAATTCGGCATAGATTTTCTTGTAAAAAATCAGTCCTTACAAGCATTCTTAGTAAGAAATGTAAGGATCCTAATTAGGGTACGGGTGCATTTAATTCAGAGGTCATTTGCTATTAAGTTTCTCAGACGTATTTTTATGTTACCACTGCCTGATTCTTCATGATGGGTTGCCAAATTTGTTGAATTTCTCGATAGTTTTTTCTAAAGTTTCAAAAAATTTTTTTAAGTAAGCTTAGCCGTTGTACATCTGCGTTTACCCTTTATATACCAATGAGCAACTTCTGGAATTTTCATTTAAAAGTACAAAATATCGCCACATATGTTCCAAATTAGGTCCTTCATAAATTTTCATGACTGTCTCCTGTAACTTTGAGCCTAGTGCAATCCAAAAATTTAAAATGTTTCATTGGATGTTCTGATTCTAAAGAAGCTGGAATTTACTTCTTTTTCGCTTGGGATGTGAGACCTCATTTCACTCTTCCGTCGAAATGACTGTTAAATACTTTTGGAATTTACAAAGACTTGTCCTCTGAATAGTGTTAAAATCTTTCCGTTTTCATTTATGATTATTGCTTTGGAATTAGCAGGTCACACATAATACAACTCGTCAACAAAAATACTTTAAAATTGACACGACTAACAAAAAATTCAGTTCAGCTAACAACTTCTAGTTTCTTGTTTCTAGTGTAGTGAATTGTTACAGAAGCATATCGGTATTATGATCATGGTCGTTGTTATGATTATCATAGCCACCTTCTTCATGGCTTTATTTCAAACCTATTGCGGAATTGAAGCGTTCATTTACAAGCAGCCCTTATGCTGCTTCACTTCCTGAAATATCCTTATGCAGAAGTCTATAGGCTTGGTTAACGATCAACTTTCCAAGGTCACTTTATCCTTAAAAGCATGTGTGTGGTTAGTCTAGTGGGCAATTTGGCTACTGAAGCGGTTTCCAACATTCTTCTTGAATAATCGACGTTGGCTTTAAGCGTAGATGGTAAAATAGCAAGTGTCATCTGTAGAATTATTATCTTGTCAATGTGGCTACTATTTTGCAGAAAGTTGGTACACCGGAGCGGTGCTAATTAACTTCTGGATAGGGATCAATAGGAATTGAGATATTTTTACAAAACTTGTCACTAATTATAGAATGATTGCTGCATAGAAATTCACAATATATCCGAAATCTAGACACTTCAAAGTTTGGTCGCTTGGTCCATATGCAGACACCTCACGATTCATGCCGTAAAAAAACAAGAAAAATACAATGAGAGATATCTATCGAGGAGAATATTAGAGAACCCAGTGAAGTAAGCACATTTATTTTGAATTTCGACTGAAACTCGAAACAATGTTGTATGAGTAGATTTAACTGACTGCATGAGTAGTTCATTATTACTGAATGAAAATGCTGGCACCCATAAGGTAGAAAAAACCTGCATATTCAACTCAGTTTGTGCGATAGTAACTGAATGTAGACGAAGCCGACTGCAGATTGAAGTGTTTAGCGAGATGGCTGTTGATTTGTTGGTTTGAGAAATTCCACTCTATGAATGTGTTTCTCGATGCGAAAGTATCGAACTGAGGTGAAGTGGAATGATGACAAACTGGAGCAAGCAGTAATTGAAGAGGTACATACGTTTCAGATTACATCAGAAGCTGTGGTATTATTTGGCCGAGCTGTTAATCCAACAAATTCAAATCATTTTATGCAGATAGGCATTTTATTTATCAGAATTACTAAGTAAATTACTTCGTGCAAGCGTCAGAGTAGAAGATGGTTGTCCATGGTGTCTACATTGGCCATGCTCTACTACTTTTATGCTGTACTTTTGTATGCCATTCCAAAAGAGTTGGCTAGTCAAGACCGTCAGTCAGTAAGTCAAAACAAATGATTGTCTAATACTTTAGATTGAATAAAATAAATGGGAACGAGGCTTAAAAGGTCAAGTAACTCCAAAAGTCCATTCTTGCGTTCAGACAACGATTAATCCGTCTCATTTTATACATAGAGTAGTAATCTATATAACTTATGGAAAATTTTATTTGTTAGTCCTAATTCTTGTCTTTAAGGCATTTTAATCTATTCACTTCTTGGGTGATTTCTTTTTTAATCGAAAGATGCTATTTGTTGCCAATCTTTCCGACTCGATCTGGACACTCTAAATGTACATATCCGTACTTTATTTATAAGCAACATGACAAAATCTCATTTCTGGAAGTGAAACGTTTTGAGATCTAATTAACTTTTTAGTTCGATAAAAGAGGTTATTCACATTGTTAGGCCTTTCACTGAAGCAAGCTTTATTTATATTTCCATGAAATACACGTTTCAAGTTCCCTTGATTGATTATCATGAGGTGTTAACTGTTTTATTTCCAACAGGTTCCCTTTTCAAATTCGATGGCGAGGTTGTCTACATCGGTTTTGGGAATTCCCAAGGTGAAATGTGCACTGCTCCTTCGGTAAAATGGGATGCCGGTAGCAGTGCAGTGCCTCGCCTAACTCTGGTTCCCCATCTGGAAGAAACTGCAGAATCTACTGAATTCAAAAGCGGTGAAGGCGTCGTCAATGCGTCCGGTTTCGCTGCCAGCGAATCTGCTGCTTTTCGACGTCTAGGATGTCCTACACCGAATTCTCCAATGTCATCCGGGCGTGCAGGAAACAAGTGGAAGTCCAATGGACCTCATGGCACACCTATACCGCCAGGTAAGTAGAATTTTGGGATCTTGTGAATTAGAAGGTGTTGTTGTGTGTTCATGGGTCTCCATTTTCTCCAGGTTTGACACACAGTGGAAATCAGGGAATGGGTGGAACTGTAAATTCTCAGGAAGAGGTACCTTCCAGTTCTGGAAGCAATCAATCCTCATTAGACTCGGCTGATCGCTACTTCATGGTGGTGATTTCGGAAAAGCATGCGCAGGTCATTGGGTTCCCATCTAGAAATTGCTACAACAGGGTAAGTCATTCATCTTATAAAGGTGTATAAACCGTCAATTTCAGTTTCTGTGACTAGGTTACTGTTTTTATCCTCTTCTTTAGTTATTTATTCACATTTCTCTGTTATCCTCTTCCTGATCCGCAATAAAATCGGCCTTGTTGATGAAGTACTTCTTTCTCATGGCGGCACAATTACATTTGTTGAGAAAGTTTCTAGAGTTGTTGCTACCCGTTAAATGACTCATGTATTAAGCCTCCGAGCCTCCTTCTCACGGCTACTAATGAACCTTCATTTTATTGCACAATTTTGCAAATTACCTGTAGAGAAAGTAGTAATCAAATTAGTACCGAAGTTTTTTTGACATTCTAAATTTCATCTTTTATCCACTATCATAATGATGGACTGGACTCATGGAATATATATGTATGCCCCTATAGGCTTATCTGCCTGTAATATTGGGAAAATATTTGGATAAACTAAAACTGTGCATATTGTTTAGTTTGTAAATTTGGAGTGGACTTGCGGAAAGACTAGGAAACTTGTAGTCTAAATGGCATGAGCAGAGCTGCATATCTCCAGCCTGCAAGTTGATTCATCAAAGGCTCTAAAGGCCTGTTCAGTACCATGTACAAACAAAGCTGGTGTTGTTCTACTGCAACGCAAACTTATTAAATAACAGGATACGACTTATACCTGAGTAAAATTACCACTACAGAGTTTTAACAGCCCTAATTTTTCTTCATTTACTTGCGTAATGGTAGATCATCACAGGCCAGTCTTTTCCACACTTTACCTTGCGCCAAGCTAAGATTCCGCTTTTAGCTCTAGTTTGATTGTACTACAAGTTACTGTTTTATGTTCTGGGTCCTGATAATATTTGGATGAGAGGAAGAAGCCAAGCTGCATCTTTCTCCTACAACTAACATTCCTTCCTTCATTCTAGTCACATGTTCAAATGTTGTGCATAGTTTGGAAGAGATTTCAACTAACCTGATGTACATGGAAGTAGATTCACCCTTAACTAAATGTTGTTTAGGAGGGAGGAACGAACCTAATCCTCCTTCTTTGGTCCTGTTGGGAATTCTGTTTATTGCAATGGGGGAGTAGGGGACAGATGTCCCCTATCTGACATCACATGATTTCCTTCGTACTCGAGTGTGGGTTTGTCGAGATATTGTAGTGTTTGGGGCTGACCTTGTGTGGCACACAGCGCCTTGAACCTCGATTCATTCCCAATGACTTTGCACGTGCATGTGTGCCTAGTAATGCGTAGTTTTAATGCATGGAGGGTGTTGAGGGTGTCCACACTCAGATTCGCTCTTGTCCAGGCATTTGCATAATTGAGAGAAGAAGAGGAAGTCCTACAGCCACTTTTGTGAAATCTTGCACAAATTTCATCGAATTCCACTTTATTGGAATGGGTGGCGGTTTCTGATGATGATTGATGTGAGGTGAGATTGAAGCATGTGATCATAGTATGCCCTTTTGCTGACATATGGCAACCTCTTCACTGTGCACCTTTACAATTGAGGTTTGTTTGTTTGTTTGGTTGTTTTATTACTTGAATGCCCAAGTTTTTTCCTTTTTTTGCTTTCATTTATCAATATTCTTATGGCTGGTCAATTTGTGAACTGGCTTAATCCAATTGTGCATATTTTTTGGTCGCAATTACTACCATTTGTATAATTTATACTTTTCTGTTAGTGAATCATTTGTTGCACTCTCTCTGCTCTTGCGATTATAGGGTTTTGTAATTTTCTCGTTACAAATTAACTCTCTTGTAGTTTTATGATAGTCATGATTTTTTAGCACTCTCTCATTTTCATCATTCAAAATAGTTGGATTCAGTCTAATATTTTTGACTTAAATCGTAACACATGGAAAATATAGGCTTACACACTTGTTCGTTTGTGCTGTGAGATGAAACTCATCTATCCAAGATTAAACCACATTCACTTGTTTTAGAAGATAAAGTGGTAATTCAGTAGCCATGTCAAATCTTGCCGATGATACATGCCTTATTTGATATATGGATTTATTGTCATTGTCTAAATTCAAACAATACATGTGTCCGATTTGCTCCCAGTAACATAATAGTCCTCCAAAACGGAATGTCTCAAGTCAAACACTGCATTAATTGGTCAAATTTTTATCAGACAAATATTTATTTCACCTATATTCCAGACTGCCTGGTCTACTTCTTTCGTTCCACAGTAGAAATCGTATTCAAATTCAAAATGTTTTTTGCAGGTACTAATTGCTCAAATTAAAAAGTGTTATTTGGAAACTAAAGCGCATTCAACGCCAACTATAGTTTCATGGCTGACAAACGAATCGTCAAAGTTAGACGATGGCAGCATTTGCTATTTGGCACCCCCACAATATTACTTCGGTGCAAACCAAAGATTACTTGTATTTCAAATTCATCTTCAATTTTGGATTTATTAAACTATTAAGTTCCTTGCACAAGCTTTCAAAATGTGTCTTTAGCGGCCCAATTTTATGTACTATTTTTTTGCCCTTTCATTTTCAAAGACCAGTTTTACTCATTTCGTGATAGTTTTGTTAAATAAGACCACTCATATCTTTTGTCTTGCTAAGCCAGTTTGGAAAAATGTTGATAATGCCAGTAAAAGTCACCAGTCACTCCCCATTACAAGTGCTTTTTGTTATCCACAGGTGCTTCTCATCTATTTGCGATTCATGCGAATGACTCCACAGCTGATTTTTAGTGAATTTGAACTGAGATTTGTTTCTTTTAAAGTCTACTAAAGCGCGATATATTTGGATGAATTGTTCCAATCGCGCATCTAACTCGACTGTTTTCACCTCCTATTTTTCGCTATAATACTTAATCTTGTATTATTCGGCAATGCTCTTATGCAAGTGGACTTATTGGTAGTTCTGTAATGCTACTTTCCAACTACTACTTTTCACTTAACTATTCCAGATGATTGTGAGCTTGGATGCACATAACCGTTACTTCTGTGCTATCTTGTAATTTCAGAGTCACTTTTCAGTTGGCACATACAGTGCCGTATTTTCTTAGGCAGAAGTTTATTCTCAATTCCGTGTTAAATTTCAACGGGATCCCTCAAGCCTCGCCACATGAGACCACTTTTATTCTTTCTGTTCACAACAGTGTTTGGTAAAAGTCACTACACCGTCTTATGCAGGTGAAAATCACCGAGACCAGTGCAGTGATCCGCGCGGAGATGAGCAATCAACGAATGCCTTTCTCAACTTCAATCTCCGCCTCACAGTTCTCTACGGCTACACCGACAACAGTGCTCTTCATATCCTGCCTACTCTCCAACGGCCATCTGATCGCCTTCTCATTGCCATCGCTGCGCATCCTGAGTGACGTGGAGGTTGTCGGCAAACCATTCCATCAGACTCTATTTACCTTCGGCAACCTTGGCTATGCTATCTACATGTCGTCTCCCTCTGAACTCGCCAAAATATCCGTGTCTGCTGATCTGAGGTGGGTTTCTAGGTGGATTAGCTGATTTTGGAGTCTCCTGGTCTTAAAGTAACTTGACTTATCTCTCTCGCTACAGCAATAACCTCAGCGAGATGCAAGGCGAGCTGTTCTTGCCCTGTAACATGCCAGAACCGCCGAAGAAGAACTTCTTTACCAATCTCTTTACCGGCAATGGGCTATCGTCGGCGGATAAGGATGCATTGTGTTAGTACAATTTTCTTTTAATATCCAGAAGGTTAGGGTTTTTCACACCACTTTTTTGTCTGCTCTACCCATTCACACTAAATTTGAAATTTGGACTGAAACTGTATGAAGAAATAGAAGTTTTGGAACTGTTACGATCGGCAATCAGAAATCCTTGAATGTATTCCTCCTCCTTTGAACTAAACTGACAGCTCAGACCACTTTGATCTTTTAAATTGAGTTCGTTGGCTTTGTTTCAGGAAGTTTATGTTCAAAGAACAAATTAAAATTATTACGAAGGAATCTTGAATGCATGTTATTGTTGATGTAAATAACAACTTAACATCTCGTTCTAATTTGAATTCTGTATCATCATCCGATAAGTCAAAATTTTGATTTGATAGCCGTCTAATGAAGCTTGTACACAGGAGTTACCAGTTGATTCCAATCCATCTACCAGTCTATTCGGCAAAATTTGGCTGCTCGAAATAGTTACAACTACTGGTCAGAGATCTCTAACAGTGGCCAGTTTCACATCTGCGTATTGGTTGATCACTCGTACGCCGGCTTTATGAAGTTGTAACTTATGGCGTTTTAAATTAACAACTACAGTATTGATATAAAGAATCTGTTTGAATTCATCCTAGTGTTTTAGCATTCATTGAGTATTTTTGTATGCGTTTCACTCTTGGTTCAGTATTTGAACCTCCAGTTCGAGGTATTCCATAAAATCGTAGAATGGTAAGGATCGGTAAAAGATTGAATGCATTCCTTCATTTTCTTCACAGTAACACGTGTCCCGTCAGATAGGTTACTATGTTGAAGATTCTACCCTTTAAGAGTATTTACTATCCATATCTAGTCCTCTAGGCAAAGTGTGGACTTCTGATTCCAGAGACTTTTGTGCAAATAATTATGATAGAGTAGCTAAGAGCATTTGACTATCCTGAATTAATCGATCTCACTATCTAAATGTGTTTTGCTATCCATTCCTAAACTGGTACATGTTTTAGCCTCATCTTGGAAGTGGGCCCCAAATATGCTATCGTAGGTGTTTTTTTCATTTTTATTTCTGAACCTTGGACAAATTAGGAGATGTTGGCTACGCGATATCGCCTTCTGGTCTATTTCTCATAGGTGACATGAATTTTGAAGTGCTGGGTCATTAAACAGCGTCCCTAAACTCTGGAAAAGTCATTAAAGCTGTGTGCCCACGTTAAGCATATTCCTGCTTTGGAGTAGTTACCCTGTAAAAGCATCAATACTTGACTTCTCCTTCTTTCTTACTTTTCTCTTCCAAGAAAACTCACCCACACATAACCAATATGGAAACAATAATATTTGAGCGGCAATAATTAGTAGTGAGGCGTTTTGGAATTTATTTCATAATACATTTACCACTTCATATTTAAAAAACGGACATTTGTACTGCCCCCGCCTTAGTTCGACTACCTTGCTGGCAGCAGATGTTTTGAATTTGAATTTTGCTGTGTACCTCTTCAAGCCTTCCATCTTTTCTAAATTGCAAAATTTTGAAATATGCACTAGAAGAAACCGAAAAGCGATCTGTCTGAACATTTCATAGCATTTAAAGCCTGTTCGTATTTACTGTATATGCGCATTTAATTCGTTGCTTCAACATATGTACATTAGTCATTTGACTAGATGGTTGCTCCTGAGTAGGTTCTGCTTGAGCACTTATGGGGTAGTGAAAAAGTTTTGATATTGGAAATTGATCTTTAGCTTTGCTTATTTGCATCTCTGTTTATTTGAATGACAGTCTGATATTTATTTTAACGTATTTTTCATAAGAGCTTGTAAAATTGTTATTATTGTATGGAAAAGGAAGATACCAAAACACCCTTGGATACATTTTATTTTTCTAACTCGGTAGTGGCGTGAGTTTTAATGGGTCACTGTCTAACTGACATCTAATTCTTAATCTGATGTGTCCATACGCGACAAATTTTAAAGTATTTATGTGTAATTTCATCAACTTCGTTAGTTCTTTGCCTGGTTTGCATATTTAGTTAAAAAAGCACTCTGGAATCTTGAGGTCAATGCTTACAGCATCCATGACTGGTTAATAATTGAGGTTCGTTTAAATATCAGGCCGACTGTTAGGTTATGTGGGATGTTTAGAGAGGTGCCTTTAATATTCTTGGGTTCTTAAATGCTTTCTATCATCGTTTCATTCCAACTATCTGTTTCTGTAGGCTCACTATCCTTTAAAGGGAATAAATGCTAGAGCTTTCATTGACTGAAAGCGATTGTTCTGCCCACACTTGCTATATTAAAATTCGAAATCGAACTTTCGAAGACAGCTTAACTTTTACTAATCTCCCAGGATATAAAGTGTTCGTAAATGGTACCCTTGGTTCGAATTAGTTGCCTCTCTCTACTGAAAACTCTAAAACGAGGTCGTTCCTCTAAATACTGGAGCCTCTGGACACCTTCATGTGTATGCGATCCATTCGAGCACTTTATTACGTTTGGTGAGGTCACACGTGGTTTTATCGTGGGTACTAATTCAGATATGTTTTAATGAGTTGGTAAGAATCGGGATGTAAGTGTCCATCAGTTGCTCAAATGGAAGAGCTCTGATACAAATTCCCTCGAATAAAGGTGTCGTGAATCAAATGTCGATGGTCTAGACAAAGCTTAATTTATGCACTTCGAAGTCTACTAACCAATGATAGCATGATCCGAAGTGTATTTAAGATGGTTTTAACTCCACTTCAGAATAACGTGCTGGTGTATTGTTACCCATGTTTATGATATGAACTTTGTAAAAGCGAAGTAGTGAAAACCTAGTGAAGCATCTAAATGGAACCAAACCACGCATTCGGGTTGTGGTTATATTTGTATCATTACATTGGTAATACCAGTAACCTCATTAAACTCGAATGTTTTACCGCTGGTGAACGATAAAGGTTTCGGTTTGTTTCGGCCTTTATATACTTTGGAATGGACCAACTCGTCCGTTTTGGTAACATAAATTGCAGCCGAAAACCTTTTTTGCAGCCATACCTTTTAATTAAATTTGCCTTAAATCTGTTTTTGTATCTTCGTAGTATAGTCAGTCAAAACGAAGAAAAGAGGTAGAGTACCTCAACAATGTCAATCTTGCTGACTCGACTTTAACCCTATTTTTCCCGTAGAAATATGTTTCTGAGATCATTTTTGAGGTACTATTACAAGTATCTTTGGAATTAAGGGCTGTCTTACATCGGAAACCTTTTTTTCCAAAATGGGCGGAATTGCCCAATGCATATGCAAGTGTAGTCATGACAGCGCAAATGAGCTGCCTTCAATACAGCTAGGCGAAACATCGAAGTGTCTTGTGTGTGCAAAACAACAATTCGCATAGCATGTTGCCCTCTTGCTTTAAGTATTTTCTCTGGGGCTCGTGGTCACAATCATTTCCCTGCTGATTGCAGTGAAACCATCCATAGGATTGTAACGGCGGTGATCTGGTTGATCTGTATCGTAACGAAATGCCTATCGAGTCTGTTATAACTGGCAAATATCGTTTATCTTTATAAGCTTTCAACAGTTCATGTTTTCAGGCGATAAAAAATCATTCAAGAAATAAAGCGAGGTAAATTTGATTACTTGAAAAAATTGTCGATTGTGAGAGCACCAGCAGTGGCTAAGCAATGCTGAAAAATCACTGGGAGATTTTCCTTGTGACTTTTCCCTCCTTCTCATGCATCCCTGTGTTAATATTTCCTATCCATTTCCCTTGATTTATCTTAGACCAGTAATAAGATCCCCTAAAATTTCTCCTATTTATATCTACTTCGATTAAAGTATGATCGGTCCATCCAATTGTTGATTACTGGTAATTATGTGAGCTAGATAAGTAAAGGCAATATCAGGAGTCAGTGCCATTCCTTTTCTATCGTTCGTCGTTACTTCAGTTTTCCATGCAAATCTTTTTTTTAAAAGCTACATAAGATAGAAGGGATGATAGGAACCAGACTGCAATTGAAAAAATAATATTAGTGATTAAGAAACCCGTCCCTTTTTACAAAATTTGATGTGGGGAGAAAGAGAACATCGTTAAAATGCATAAAATTCCTTTTGAAAACTTTTTAGCTAAAATTTGAGAAATATAAGTAGCAAAAGAATAGCATAGGATTTTAAGGTCTCGCTGAAAATATGAAGAAGCTGTAATTGCGTCCCACTAATTTTTCATTAATATTATCATTCGCTTTTTTCAAAAAAAGCATATTCTAGGTCATTCAAGTCAAATCAGAAATTTCACTGTTATGCAAAAAATGAAGTAGTTTAAGAGAGCGCGAAAGGCATTCATTTTGCTACATGATTTCCTGCTACGCTTGTATGCAAACGTTAGCTTGTGGCTGGAGAGCAGCTCTGTAAAAGAACGATTTGCCATCTCGGCTAAATCATCCTGCCACACTCAACATGCGCTACCCTAAAGTCTCAAAGCAGATTTGCAGGTTCAGGCTTTGCTTCTTTTTTTCACAATAAACCACGTTTGTCACTTTGCGTTACTTTCTGCATGCA